TGCTCCCAACATCAATGATTTGGCAGTCGTTAACGCTGGTAAGGCGAGAAGTCATCCCTCCTATTGGACTTGCTACTTTCTTTAGGTAAAAAGTTGCGTATTGAGTGGCGTAATAATGGCCATGCACATAACGGCGAGTCCGAGGGTGAGATTCTCAATAGCAAAGATCTTGTTTATTTTTTTTGTAGGTAGCTGTGTGTCGATTCGCATCACTCCGTACAAGGCCGATCCTGATTGGGCTGACTTTGAAGTCGTGGAGACCTGCATGCCCTACTATCATGACAATTTCGTGAGTTCACTCCCGATGACGTTTTATGCAGTTGTTTTTACTCAGGATACTTCTGGTGAGATAACCATTCCAGAGAGCTACGCTGCGGGCAAGTATACTATCAGTTGGATGTGGGAATTCGGTCCTTTCTATTTTGGCGCGTGTGCCGATGTGCTCGTCGAGAATACTAATAGTGTTGAAACCGACCCACCTGCTACCACGGAAGCGACCGTTTCTGCTGATGCATCCCCCACTACTACTCCGCCACCTCCACCTCCTCCCGCTGCTGCTACTACGACCCCTACACCTGCCCGTAAGACTCCTAAGACTGCAACTTCTGGTGGTGGCAAGACGCTGTATGAACAGTATCAAGATCATGGGTGTACCGGTCTGGACAATCCTGGTAAGTTTTGTTTTGATTATTTCGGTACCTATTGTAAGAGCACTGCTGGTGTTGATGAGTGTGGCCGATCGATATGTCATCGATCCTCTTATGACGATCTTCTTCCGTGCAAAAGGAGATCTCTTCGTGCATCGAATTAACTGTAATTAATTATTCTTTCCTCAATCGCCGTTACATATTTTGAATATTCATTTCGCTTGGATCGTCAGCCGCTGATCGTCGAGCCCAGAAGAGGCTCCTAGCGCATCAAGTATATATCATATTCATGCCTCGTTGTTGATATATGTTTAGAAGTAACGGAGACAGAAGTTGTGTGACGTTGTGTCAGTTGTCTCCTCCGCATATAAGTCGCATGTTACTGAGAAACGTCTCGGGTTACCACTGTGTTGCGTATTAGACAATGTCTTCTGGGTTTTGTAAGGAGGTAGTCGTATATGCGGTTTTTTGTTCTTTTAGGAGCATCTGATCATTTAGGCGGTGTTATATATGCGAGAACGTGCAGGGGTCAGGAATTGACCGAAGAGCAGCTGATTTGAATTCGTAACTTCATATGCGTACATCTTTGCGCCTCCTATGTAAACGAGTGCCACCCGAAGTAATTCTCGAGAGAACCCCAAACCCATCAGCGGTGATGTTCACGTCTGCGGCGTTTAAATTCATGGAGTTTTCAAGTGGTGCAAGACGATCGGCAACGTAGGTGAGCTCAGCAAGTTGCATAATGTTAAATTTAGCTCTGTAATATTGGATTGAATTCAAGTCGATTTGCAGTTACACGACTGAGAGTAGCTTTTGTCCGCGAGTCGCTAAGGAGTTGCTTGAAGTGAAAGGCGTGGATAAAGTCACAGTGGGAGACGGTTTTTTATCAAGTAAGAGGAAGTCTGTAGCTCTACACGTATATAAGGAATATCTTGTAAAGTAGGTAGTGACGATTTTATCGTAAGTATAGGTATCGTTCTGTTCTTGAGATTTTTTAATCTGGTGAGCTGCAATCGTTTCTAGCGTGCGTTTTATCTCATGTTAAAACGCTCCGAATGGCATTTGTTGGTCAGTTATTGCGTCACGCCCGAGCGGAAGGGAATTTGCTTTTGCTGAAGAACAACTTGCCGCATTCAAATCTATACTGGACAAGGCAGCTGTGGAGCCAGTGAGTCGTTAGTGTTGGTCACTCGCATATTGTCTTCCTGTAGGAAAATTACCTCAGTGGGGACAGTACGGTGACAGAGAGAGCGCCCTCGAGTAGTAGTAATGAGGTTGAGGAGAGAATACAGTCACTGTTGGATACGAGAGTAAGGCCTGTGATCGCCCAAGACGGTAAGAACACATCAAATCCTGTGCGAAGCGAGGCCCGAGTCGGGACTAGCAAATAGGGCTTAGATTACTTCAGAGCAGTGTGGGAATATATGCATATGATCAGCTACATGTATTGCTAGGGATATCGAAATTTTGAGGGAATTTTGTTGTTTTTTTTACCCTTCTGCCCAAAATCGTGTGAATATTGCACAATATAGTGAAGAAATTTACGAGCTCAGTTGAGGAAACCAAACATATATTCCCACACTGCTTTAGAGCGAATAAAAATATGTACATAAGAATTAACTAATTCTATTCTGAACATATAAATATCAGGTGCGTTTATGGGGGAATTGAAAATTAAATTGATTTTATTTATTAAAAATGACATCAGTCATTTGTCCGCCCTATTGGCACTTTATGCTCTCTTGGGAGGTTGACTTGTTGTTGACCGTTATTCAGGAGGCGACTGTGAATTCATCAGCTTTGACTCGCAGACCGGTAGGGTGACTCTGGCGTTACACGGTTCTTGTGAAGGGTAAGTAGGTAAATTTGGCAAATGCGCGATTTCCCTGAGGTTAATGAGAATCGATATGTTATGGCTATATCGCTTAAGCAATGTAAACATTGCTATGAATATGTACCTTTTCGAGACCATGATAGCGACAAGTTGTTCACTATGATCAATCACATTCGCATATCATATTCGCTGTGGGGAATATATGCACATGGTCAACTACATGTGTTGATGACAATATGAAGATTCTGAGGAACTTCTTGTTAGTTTTTGTGTATTTCTGTCAGAATTCATATAATGCACAATATAGTATAATTTTAGTTTTATATTTCGTATGAATACATTATTCAATTTGGACAATTGAATTCGCGGATTTTCTCCAGTTTATAAGTATAGAAAATTCTCGAGTTCAGCTGAGGAAAGTGAGCATATATTTCTCAGAATTATAGAAATTCTGAGGAGGTTTTAGAAAATTATCGTTGGTTGTCTTATACAAGATTGAACGAGCTTAGTTGAGGGAGCCCAAACTGCCTTGGTCAACAACATGCAGGTGCCCACAGTCCGTTAAGACGCTTAAAGACTCCATTGAAAGGACGTTGAAATTTTACGTGGAAGAAGTATCTTCTGTGGAGCAAGCGGATAAAGAGGTGATGTTAATATCAGAAATTTACAAGCTTGCTTGTCCTCACAGGAAGGCCAAGTCGAATCGCCGTATATTTATCATAAGCATGTGGGCACTAGAATGACCGAGGAGGAGAAGGAGGAGTTAGCAGCGGTGACACCGTTGTTCAGCACATTCGCGGGAGCCACTATCAATGAACGGATGGTAAGAGTAGTAGTAGTAGTAGTAGTAGTAGTAGTAGTAGTAGTAGTAGTAGCTCAGGAGCTCCCTCACTGGATATAGAATTTTATATAAAATTCGGTTAGAAGTGTACAAAAATCATCGAGAATTTTCCAAAGTTTTGTCAGAATTCTTCCATCTTGCACTATATGCATATTTTCCGTTTACAATGTGCGTTGATTATCATCAGATATCACGAATACATTTCTGTTCAACAGTGCAGTTGTCCAAAGAGCAGGCTGCCAGTCCAGACACTCAAGTTGTGATCAACTGTGAAGAATGCGGAACTCATCGAAACGTCGAGCATGTAGATGACCTTCTTGTGGTGAGCATTCACAATAATAGAGTTTCACTCGCTTTACGTGAAGTGAAAAACGCGATAAGACGTGAATTGAAAACACGTGGCGAATTACGCCGGACAAATCACTCCGTTTTACGCGTTATTCACTGCGCTTGTGTTTTACGCGTGAAACTCCATGATTTTCAGAACGGCCCAAAATCCTGTGGGAAAGCCGCCTTGGTCATATGTCCCTCATGCATCACAATTCTCGAGACCAAGTCTTAGATTGTTGGTTTTTGTCTGGGTAGTGTTTCTGATTTTTATAGTGGAATTGCGTTTTCCGATTCACGCCAGCTCAAAACGGATTTAATGCCAACAGCTACAGTGGAGTCGAACAATATGGTAGAATATGCACACGTGTGTTGATGGTAATATGAGAATTTCGAGGAAATTTTGTGACGTCCTTATTGTTATCTATACATTGTACATTTGCGATGAAATTCTGAGGAGAGCTGACTTACATAATAACACTGACTACGACTAAGCCTACTTTCCAAACAAAATACTACTTCAAAGCGAAACACACAATTTCACAGTATTTCGAATCACAGTACTGCACATAGTTTACGAGTTCAGAAAAATAGAGACAAATACTAGTATAAGTAACAACCACTTTTTCAGTGGGATTTTGATACTTGAACAGTACAAACAAACATATGCGATAATGGGAACTTCATCACTCGACAACAATGACAGAATCATGAGGCACTAACCAACCGTAAATTCTGTAAGTTTCGATAACAAGTAGCTTCCACTCTATGAGAGCCTCCTCGCCCTCATCGGCGCAAAAAATCTGCGCATTATAGCGCGGTACGATAGCTGATGATTATTTATCAATAGAATACAACAAGTACAAGTACGACCAAAGGTGGTGGTAGTAGTAGCGCCGAAGAATCTTTCTTGAGATTTACCAAATTCTTCGCTGTGCGCAATTTCCATAGCACAGTAATAATAGAGTTGATGCATCAACTACAAAATGATATCCTTCAAAAAAAGGCAGACAGAAAAATGCAAAACTCTCAAAGTGACGAAATATTTTCCCCTGTTTTATGCTCATCGATCTTCGGAATTTCTGACGAACGATTATGCCCTTGTGGTCGACGATAATCCCGTGAAAGCTGAGCCTTTCCACGGGCGATACTCGCGAGTTGCTCAGCCGCAATCGACGCCGCCACCCGACGTGCTTCAGCAGCTCTTCTCGCGGCTTCATAATACTCATCATCATCTCGCGCAGTTCGCGGCAATTCCTCAAGTCTAGGAGCAACACCATAATCTTCATAGTGCGAAAGATACGCATGCGAAGAGGAGGCTTCGGGAGTCATAGTACATACTTTTCGACCACCTGCAGAAGAAGAATCTTTACCGTTAACGCACTCGTGAGATTTTTCTAGAGTGTCAACCGCATGCATCTTCAAAATGTATTACACAATAATCATTGGTTTCTGTACATTTACACCCGAGTTCATATAATGAAGTTTCACCACCCTAGTGATATGTAAAACATATTTCACGACTACTGCATATCACCGCGAATATCGCGTTTTTCACCGAGTTTTACGCCACTTCACGTAAAACGGGTGGTAAAACTCCAATTAATGAGGAAACTCTCGAGCTCGGCCGAGGAAAGCGAACATATATTCCTACTCCAACACCAAAGGAAAGCCGAATAAAGACCAAATCACGCACTAGCAGTGTTGGAATATATATCTTTGCTTACTTCAGCTGAGCACAGTAGTTCTCGAAATGGAGTTTCACCCTAGTGATATGAAAAACAAAAACCACTGCAAACTGCGAATACACTCGAAATTTTATATTGTAACGACACAGTAAAATATTCAAGTCGAATTTCCTCCCACTTACCCATCTCTGGTGGTGACAGCGATGAGGAGGGGAGAAAATTTTCCGTGCTCGAAATTGTCGTCCGGCGCTCCTGAAGAAAAAGAAAATACACACTAGTGTGTTGGCAATTAAAGAAAAATTATCTGAAATTTTCCGCGAATTTTCCACATTTCTCCCTTAAAATTCAGAAAAACTTGCGAGGATCTTCGTTGGGGAAACGTAATGTAGTGAGGAAACTCCTGAGCTCAGCTGAGGGGGCGCCAAACATATATTCCTATTCCAGCACTGATTCGAGTAGTATGGGAAATTATGCACATGGTCAACTACAAGTGTTGACGACAGAATGGAAATTTCGGGAAATTATTGGAGTTTCACTCGTGATATGAAAAACATATTTTACTCGGCGAAAAACGCATGAAGATTTACACCACCCCACGTGAAACGGGTGGAATTCTATCGTTGAAAATTTTGCACACTTCTACCCGAAATCTATAATTAGTAAAGAAACTCCTGAGCTCAGTAGCTGAGGAAAGCGAACATATATTCCTACTCCAACACTGTATAGGAAACTCCTGAG